CCAAAGCCCTGATAGAATTAAATCTTGTCAGGGATGACAAGGGCAACAAGAAAAGCTTCTACAGGTACAGTGATTAATCAGTGATTTGAAGAAGACTAGGGGAAACACTGGTCCTCTACAGAAGGAAAAGGGAGACCTGGTTACCTGGGATATGGAGAAGGCTGAGGTACTCAGTGACTTTTTTGCCTCAGTCTTCATTGGAAGCCACACTGCTTCAGCCACACTGCCCAAATCCCAGAAGGCACTGGGAGAATGAAGACCTGCCCATTGTAGGAGAAGGTCAGGTTTGAGACCATCTAAGGACATTGAAGGTGCACGAGTCCATAGGATCGATGAGATGCATTCACAGGTCCTGAGGGAACTGGTGGATGAAGTGACTAAGCCACTCTATCCATCATGTTTGAGAAGTGAGGTTCCTGCAGACTAGAAAAGGGGAAACATAACACCCATTTTTAAAAAGGGAAAAAAGGAAGAACTGGGGAACTACAGGCCAGTTAGTCTCCCCTCTTTGCCTGTAGAATCATGGAGCAGATCCTCCAGGAAACTATGCTAGAGCACATGGAAGACAATGAAGTGATTGGTAACAGCCATCATGGCTTCACTAAGGCCAAATTGTGCCTGACAAATCTGGTCTTCTGTGACAGGGTTACAGAGTTTGTGGATAAGGGTAGAGCAACTAATGTCATCTGCCTGGACTTGTGCAAAGCATTTGACACTGTCCTGCGTGACATCCTTGTCTATAAATTGGAGAGACATGGATTTGATGGATGGACCACTCAGTGGATAAGGGATTTGAGCAACCTGGTCCACGTACACTTTTATTTTTATTCTTTAACTGGTACTTTGTGAGGCTGAACAAAGACACAGATGTGTTCAGGATTCTACCAAGGATACATCTGTCTCCAGATGAGAGGATCCTGACATCAAACTGACTGCAGCTGAGCTGGAAAAAGTTTTAAATCACTGCGATCAATGCAAGTTTTGCACCAAAGTACAAATACATATACAACAATTTCCTCTGGGTGACAGACAAATCCTGTTAGTCTACTTATGAATGGGCCTCATTAAGTAGAAAAAAAAATGTTGGTGCAACCTGTTCCTTTTTAAATTAAACATATTAAAAGTTGATAGATACCCTAATTCTCTGCTCAGCCTTTTATGCATTGCAGTAACACTGCTCCCATTGTTAGGGAAAGTCTTGAGTTTGCATAATCTGCTTCTCATTTCCCTGGCAGCTGCAGATCATTCTTGGCGATGAAATTAAAAACAGTTTCTTTTAAGAATCCACCAGATCTGTCTTCTGTTTTCCTCCCTGAACCTGAAAGCTAGGAAGAAAATGAGAAACCAAAACCTTAGCAACAAGCATTAAATCCTATCAGATCAGGTTGGAAGGTCACCTCATCCTTCCTTCTGCCCTGAGGCAAAAATAAACTCTTCTTAAGCCATCCCTGAGAGATGTTCATCGAACTCTAAAAAACATCCAGTGATGCTTTCACAGCCCGTTCCTTGGCTTACCTCATGGCTACAAGTCTGACCTAAATGTCCCTTACCGCCATCAAAGCTCCTCACTGCTTCCCCTGTCCACACTGGACTTGAAGAAGACTATTGCTCCTTGAAGAAGAGTATTGCTTGTCTCTTTGAAGCAGCCCTTTACATGTGTGTCCAGCTTTGCCATGCTTTTCAATCCTCTTATCTCTTATGAACATACCGTCTACAACTTTTCTGAAACGCAGCCCCGTTTCAGAGCCCAGCATCTTCAGCAAAGTCAAACTGCTCCTCAGTCCATTTCTGCTCCTGTGTTTATTCCTGTTGTATAGAAGTGAGTGGAGAACGCAGGAGGTTGAGGTTTTAGCCTCCCAGGAGAGCAATGGACAGGTAGGGAAGAGGCATCGAGAGAACGCTAGGATGGCTGTGAGGCTGGCGTACACCAGCTGCGCCTGGTCGCTGACACGTGCTGGTAGCATGGCTAGCAGATGGGCTGATCAGAGCACACCCAGGTCCCAGGCAGGCAGCTGGGTGGTCACACAATGTGTCCAGTTCCAGACCAACCACGCAAACCTAGCACAACCCTGCGGAGTGGACTCTGCCAGTTCTGGGACGACACCATAAGTAGTGAGGAAACACAGGGAGTGAGCTGTGTGGGTGGAAAAGTGGGAGAAAAAAACAGGAAGTGTAGTAGAGGAAGGGGAAAGAATCTGAGATGATAAATCAAAACATGCAATGACCTGCCTTCTGCCACTTGACCCTTGCTAGAGCTGACCTTGACTTCAAAAGAAACTTCAGTTTTCTGAAAGGCAGCAAAAAGAAAAATGAGTCATGAAATCTCGCAATCAGTTCAGAGGCTTACAGCAGCATCTAGTACCAGCATTTTTCGTGTCACCCAATAAAGCACTAAGCCTAGGTAGTTTTTGGATTTCTGTGACTAAGTTGACAGCTTTAATTGTAGAAGGTGGTTTTGCCAGCACCCAGCCTTGTGCAGACAGACTTCCCTCCCCACTCTTCCAGTCCAGCGAGGCTGCTCAGACCTGTGGTTTGGGCCACTCTTGGTGCCTTCAGCTAGGACTGTGCTCAGCTCTCAGCACACGGGAACCATCTGGGACAGCCCAACACGTAATACCCACAGGGTACTGTAGGTGCCCGGGTCTGAAATCCCCAGGGTGGCCAGCAAGGTTCACCTTGGAGGGCAAAGCAACTGGGGGAGCAGACTGCTGAGAAGGGACGGCCCTGCTTGGCACCTCATCTGGTGACTGATTTGCACTGACATGCTGTTCCAATCACAGCAATTTTGGATTATACTAGCTGCTTTTCCGGATGTAGGGAAGAACAGGCCTGACAAATAGGATAGTAAATGCACGTGAAGGACGTTACTCCAGAACTCCCAGCTGCTATACTCCCACTGTGAGAATTTAAAGGTATCTTGTTAAAGATGTTACACAATGTCAACATTAATGGTTTCCTCCTATCTTGCCTTTTAAGTGCCTCACCCTACAGAGGTTTATTACTACCTACCTGGACTTGTGCACAGCATTTGATACTGTCCCACATGACGTCCTTGTCTCTAATTGGAGAGACATGGATTTGATGGATGGACCACTCACTGGATAAGGGATTGGCTGGATGCTCACACTCAAGAGTTGTGATCAACAGCTTGATGTCCAAGTGGAGAGCAGTGACAAGTGGCGTTCCTCAGTCTTGGTGCTGGGACTGGAGCTGTTTAACATCTTTGTTGGTGACATGGACAGTGGAATTGAGGCACCCTCAGCAAATTTGTTGACACCAAGCTGTGTGGTGCAGTCGACATGCTGAATGTGACATCCAGAGCAACCTGGACAGACTGAAGAGGTGGGACCGTGTGAACCTCATGAGATTCAACAAGGCCAAGGGCAAGGTCCTGCACATGGGTCAGGGCAATCCCAAGCACAAACACAGGCTGGGCCAGGAGTGGATTGAGAGCAGCCCTGAGGAGAAGGACTTGGGGGTGTTGGTTGATGAGAAGCACAACATGACCTGGCAGCAATGTGTGCTTGCAGCCCAGAAACCCAACCGTGTCCTGGGCTGCATCAAGAGCAGTGTGTCCAGCAGGGCGAGGGAGGGGATTTTCCCCCTCTGCTCCGTTTTTGTGAGACCTCCCCCTGCAGTGCTGTGTCCAGCTCTGGGGGCACCAACATCAGAAGCACACGGACCTGCTCAAGTAGGTCCAGAGGAGGCCACAAAAATGATCAGGGGGCTGGAGCACCCCCTGTGAGGACAGGCTGAGAGATTTGGGGGTGTTCAGCCTGGAGAAGAGAAGGCTCTGGGGAGACCTTAGAGCAGCCTCCCAGGGCTGAAAGGGGCTACAGGAAAGGGGGGAGGGACTCTTTACAGGGGTGAAGGGATAGGATGAGGGGTTACAGTTTTAGACTGACAGAGGGTAGATCTAGATGAGATAGAAGGAATAAATTTTTTACAGTGAAGGTGGTGAGGCCCTGGCACAGGTTGCCCAGAGAAGCTGTGGCTGCCCCCTCCCTGGAGGGGTTCAAGGCCAGGTTGGACGGGGCTTTGGGCAGCCTGGGCTAGTGGAAGGTGTCCCTGCCCATGGCAGAGGGGTTGGGACTAACTGATCTTTAAATTCCCTTCCAACCCAAACTGTTCTATGATTCTATGATTAATACAGGCTGAAATGTCAAGATTTAAAGGCTAATTAAATACTACTTAAAACTTTCACAAAGGGAATTAACCAGAACTTACCCACTGGTTACACTGCTGTTCACTTTGTGCAGGAGAGGCGATTCTCATGCATGTGGTTTAAGCTATAAAAGCTGGCTGGAGCCTGCACCCAGCCCCGCTGAGGTGGGGGAGGCACAATCAGGTAGACAGCTGCCGAGGACAGCAAACTGCACTCTTGCCAGGTTGCAACTCTGCATGCTTGAGCAAAGACAAAAGCACCCCTTCCAGGCATTGTGTTTACTTGCAATTTGTAACAGCTAAAAATCACAGGAAACGTAACTAAAACGCCTTTCCAAGGGAGACCAAAACTGACTTTACACATTTCCATACACAGAGAAATGACCCACGCAAATAAAAGAAACCAGTCCACATCGCCACACCAAGCAAGCTGAACACAGGGAGAGCCTCTGGTTACAGAGACCAAACAGTGCCTTGGCGCAAGCGAAACACCAAATGTTCAGGAAATACAGACACAGAGCTTGTGAAATTTTCCATATGACATTTGAAAATTAAAAGTTATACTGTCCTATTCTGTCCACGGATTAAGAGGAATAAAACTTGTATGTACTGTCATTAGCCTATGTATAAGAAAAGATACGTCTAGAAATAAAAAGATCCACTTTTTTAGATAAAAAGCACATATATAACAGAATACCGGTGTTACCCAACTGAAACTAAATTCCTATGCGTTTGATTTCACTCACCTGTAATAAACTGCTGAATGGAAGAACGGAGAATACAACAGAGAAACAATTCTCTGTTCTATAGAAAGGACAAATTCATTAAATGGGTTCATTTTCACATTTATTTGATGAAGTGGTGTACATAGCATTAATCTTTGCAGAGTAATAATCATGTACACAGACAATGAATGGTTTTGAGACCAGAAGTTCGATACACAGTGTGCGACATCATTGAATAAACAGTTCTTCCACAGAATGCTTCTATTTCCAGTATTAAAATATATAAAATAGAGTGTGACTTTTTAATTTGTTGCAGTGAGGTAAACATTTTTTCCTTCAAAGCAGTGTGCTTCTATGCACCTTTACGAGAACTGCTAACGATACCTTTCTCCTTCATTCAGTCAATAAGTACATACCTAGTGGTGTATTTATTGCTGTTCTAATGGTCATACATTTTTTCCTTGAGCAATATGTAGAGAAAGGAATGGAGAAGAAAAAGCCTACAGTAATTGATGATAGCAACCCATCTATACTATTTGTGTCAAGAGCCAGAGATTAGTGCAGATAAATTATTTTGAATGTAACAGTTTTAATGGAAATGTCAAGAAAAATTTATTTACATTTTTCTAAGCAGAACACGGTATTGATTAGAGCTGCTCAAAAATCACAATTAAGAATTTATTAGACAAATTTTTACCTCTCTGCCCATTTACAAGACCAGATCATAATATGCACTCATTTGGTCATTGTTCAAATTTACTGATGATTTTCAGCATGTAATTCCTGGGCTGAGTGAGATTTGTACCGAATTCTTTAGTTACACAAGCCATTTGCTATTGCCTTCTGTTCCCTGAATGAATGATCTGTGTAACTAACAGCTTGAATTTCAACTGTTACAAAAGAATATATAATCGAAATAAATCTCGGTCAATATCTGAGTACTGAAACTTTTTTTTTTTTCTCTCTTGTATATAGTTTTACTGATGCCTGAGAAATTAAACACTAAAAATTGAAATGTTCATTTGCGTTTTACTCCCAATAAATCAGAAATGGGTTTTGGAAGTTAAATCAATTGAAGAATACTCCATGCTCCTGACAGAAAACTGCTTTAGGTTCTCATTTTATTTTAAAACCTCACAGAAGTGACATACTCATGAAAGAGGTTATCTTAAAAAGTTAGCAGCCATTTTCTTACTGGCAAACACATCCTCCTAGAACTCTCTGTATGGCACTGTTACACCTAGAAATACTGCACCTTATTTCCAAAAACTAGAAAATAAAATGAATCACATTTGGCCGGTTTATAGGCACAGTATAAGAATGGAAGGTGTTTCCACTACCAACTATTCAATCCCTTTTCCTGTTGTGAGGTATACTTTGGCATCTACAAAAGAAAATAATCTTAAGGCAAAATGTGTGATTTCTAAAAAAGAAAATAAACATTATTCATTTGAATAAAAATAGATATTGCCAGCACACTTTTTTACATTATTGTAAAATTCCATAAAAAATATAAACCATTATTAGTTTGATGACTCTTTACAATATAAAAAAATGAATGAAAATACTGTGAAATAGGTGAACTACGTATGTTTGATTGAAGAACAATCCTGCTAATAGAAGTCAATTATTAATTACTGTATTTTATCATGAGTTTATCAGTGACAATTTTGGAAGAAAAGCAGAGAGAGAGCTTTATGAAGTGAAGTATTACTTATTACAATTCTGAGTAACAAAATTACCAAAATCAGATGAAGACATACAAACTTCTCAAGAATGTAGCTGCAAAATTTCTGAAGCCTAACTTGCAAGCCTATGGCCGGAGTTTGCCATGTATCACAAATTAAGTCCACCAACACTGATGACTGTTTAAAAAGACTCCACTAATCCTCTCCAAAACACCAACAGGAATGACATCTTGTGAAACACACACACACACACACACACACACACACACACACACACACACACACACATATTCCATGAGAATACTCTTCCGAGTTGTTATTTTTTGGCCACACTAGCCACTGCTTTCTTTGCTGCATCCTCAAGGTCATTTGCAGACGTGATGGGGAGCCCACTTTCATTCAGAATACGCTGGGCTTCATGAACATTTGTTCCTAAAAAAGAACATTGCCTATAATTAGTAATTAATATTAATGAGCAAATGAGCATCTTCTATTAAATCTCTATAAAAGTAGCTAATGCTTCAAACTACCCATCAGTTTAACAACAGATTCAAGGAGTGGTTTATACTGAGCTAAGAAGGCGGCACTCTTAATTTCAGTGACAACTGACAGACAATGCAATCCGATAATAGCACTGGATTCCACAAGAGGGGCTCTGTGGAGATTAGAGGGTCAGTCCAACATTCACCAGAGTCAGTAGGGACATCCAGCAAGAGCAGTGGATAATGGACCACACATCAGGCCTTTAAGACACTCTCAAGATTTAACACAATTAGCAACAATCAGCTACAGTTAATCACCAGTCAGCAAATCAACAATAACTAAAATTCCCCCATGTTAACTGAAAGCTGCAAAATGGGCTATGGAAAAGCACAGATTTGGGTAATCCTGCAAATCTAGCTGCTTTTGAGCTGCTCTTCCAATATGCTTTCTTGTATTTCTGCTAAAAAGGGGGAACATCAGAGATCTCCGAGGCATTCAGCATGACACTGTTCCCTCCTCTGCTGCTGCACTTCATTAGCCCACATCGAAGGAGACTGTGCAGTACAAATGCGCCATTTTGTATATAAAAAGCTCAAATTTAGTCAATAGACTGCATGCACAGTAAAGGAAAAGAAATCCAAAATGAAAAAAAAAAAAAAAAGGTATTTCCGCCCTGTTCACACTTGTATAAAAGACAAGCGCACCACCTTCCCGTTTACTCTCGCTCGTTCTTTTTGGAAAACAAACTGAAAACCTGAATTCTCCAGATGTTTCTCCAGCAAAGGCAAGTGACAGTTTTGATCGCGGATATGCTCACCGAGGAACACGGGAGTCAGACATCCCGCTGGGGAAGGGGAATCCACACCTGGGGATCGCACACTGGTCACAGGCACAAGGCCCGGAGCTGATCCTCTTTAGGAGACATCCCCCCCCCCCAATCAAGT